GGGTTTAAAAAGGCAGATCTAGTGCTCTTCAGTTAGAGCACAAAGCTGCCAATCATTTTTCATGAAACAGTGAAAAGGAGAGGCAGGTCTAATGGTCTACAGCTGCTCCCAGGGTTAGCTCTGTGCATGGCCATGCACCCCAAATAGTGCTGCCCTCCAGCGTTAACCTCCTCAACAGATTTTCTCTAGGATAAAACAGGGAGAAACGGCCCAAAGCAATAGAAACACCACGGATGTAAAGCAAGTCAGCGAATGAGACCTGGGCTTTTATGCAGCACAGCTGCTCTGCACAAGCCTGGAGGCATCTGCAGACAGGCGCTTTCCCCAGCTGTTGCCGCTGAATTTGCATGTCCTGGACTGTCCAAGGGTTTCTGGCCCAAAAGCGTTAAGGTTGCAGCAATGGAGCAGCCCCCCCCCCATGGAAAGAGGGGCCCGGGGGGGGGCTTTCCTTGGCGCTTGTTCTGCAGATGCCCCGCCTCCCCCGCCCCCCCCCCCCCCCCGTGAAGGGGGAGCTGTCAGCCCTGCTGCTCTTCAGCTTGGCCCGGCGGGGGGGGGGGGGGGCTCATCTTCTGCCTGAGAGGCTCAGAAAGGGTCGGAGGTGCTGCAGCTGCTGACATTTGGGGCAATCGGAGTGGAAGCAGGCTGGGTGGGCGAGGCTCCCAGACCCTGATGTGCTGTCTTTGGTCTGCAGGGTTCGAAGGCTGCTCCATGGTGCCCAGCATCTACCCATTGGAGACACTGCACAACTGCCTCTCTCTTCGCCAGGTCAGCGATTTCCTGACTGCTCTGTCCGGGAGCTGCCCCGACTCCCACCTGAGGCCCTGCACAGGTAACCCCCTTGGGGGGGGCAGAGGGGGGGACCTAAGGGCTGGCCACCCTGGGCTGCAGCTCTGGACCCAAAGCCGTGTTAGTTTGGTTTCTCTTTGGGTCATGCCATTGGTAGACATGCCATCCTGTCTAATTCAGAGGCAGCTTGTTGGTATCGAACAGAAGAAGTAAAAAGGTCAGACATCAGGTGGATTCTCTGAAATTCTTGTATTGTCAGCTAATGGATACTGAAGCAGGAGGACACCCAAAAGGATGCCAGGACAAAACAAACAGCGTCACGGTTATTTAAATTTAAAGGGATTTGTCAGTTGGGCAGCCGTGTGAAGCTAGTGAGCAGAATGGAACCAGGGGAGGCCTCAGGTTGGGGCCCTGCTTGTCCGCCGCTTCTCCAAAGGAGCAGAAATGATCTTTTTTTCTGGGAGGGAGCGGGTGGTTGTTGCCCTATGCTGGAGGATGGGACAGGAAGGCTTTGAGGTGGCTGGAAGATGGGGCAGCCCACCTGAGCCTCTGCTGAGGGAACTGAAGGGGTGGCAACGTTGCCAGATTGTGGTAAGCGGCGCTTGTCCCGCCGCGAGCACTTGGGCAGCCAGTACAGCAGCAAGAGGTGGGCTGCCCGTGCGGGAAGGTCTCGGGGGTGTTGGATTCCTCCTGGCTGAAGGTGCTGCAGAGACCGGGCTGTCCTGGGGGTCCTGGCCAGGGACTTGCCCATGACAATCTCCCTTATGTTTGCTTTGCAGAGGGGAGCACGTTCGATGTGGCCTCTGGCAAAGGCTGCATGGAATCCTTGCCTTCTTTGGCCAGCTGCTTCCACGAGGACCAGCCTGGCGACAGGCCCCCCAGTCAGGAGCTGCTCCGCAGGGAAGAGGGGGGCCTGCAGGGCTTTGCCCCTTGGGGGGAGCTCCTGGCAGTGAGTGAGGAGGAGGCGGCGGGGCCAGAGCAGAATCGGTTGGAGGAGGCTCCAGCTGAGAGGGGCAGCCATGGGGCCTGGGAGGCCCAGAGCCAGAGCCAGACGGGCTGAAGAGCAAAGAGGCGCTCAGGACCTTGTTTCAAAGGCCCCCAGCGAGGCGCTCGGGGACCTGGCCTGGGAAAGAGGGCAGGGCACCTTCTGCTCCTCGGCAGCACCTGGGAAACTGCCGTTCGACCAGCAAAAGCCCAGAGCGGTGAAGACTCCAGCCAGGAGCCAGGCTGCCCCAGTGGAGCAGCCCAGGTGGACTCTGCACGCCAGATTTTCCACGGGGATTTTCTGGTGAGGCCGCTGAAGCAGCGATCAACTAGAAAGCAGACTGGCCTCCCTGAAGCCCCTTCCCAGCCTTGCTGGAATCACCAAGTGAACCAGGTTTTCTTAGGAATATACAAATCAGGGGCTGGGGGTGTGTGTGTGGGGGGGGTGTTACCAAATGCCAATAGTAATATATTCTTTGCATCCGTGGTTGGGGGGAGGGGGGCAGATGTCATGTCCAAAGTGTTGGTGGTTACGATTTCTGTGTTTCCCTTGTTCTGAATTATGACACACCTGCCAAGTCCTTGTGCTGTAGGTACAATCTGTAGTAAAACACTCTTGGCCCTGGTTGCATCTTTGTTCTCTGCCAGACTGAGACCTAGAGCCTCGTGAGGCGGGAATCTCTTTCTCGGAGGAGGTACGAGAGGCATGTGGAAAAGGGGCCCAAGAGCAGAGCCTCCCTGGGCAGGAGCAGTTTGCCTTGAAGGAGCTGGAGGAACCCTGTGTAGCAGGGGAGGGGAGGATGTTAAAGGAGCAAGGCTTGGCCTGGGGCTGCCGGTCAAAGCAGGGGAGGCCCGGATTTGCTCACAAGAACCCCGGGAGACGGGCTTCGGAATCGGACGCCCTTCCAATGTGCCCCAGAGGTCGGCCTGCCCCGTGACAGGAGGGGAAGTCCCTGCTGGAGCTCTGGGGCTGTTCCGAGGAGGCTTACAAGGAGGGGTGCAGCGACCTACGGACAGACGTTGAACATCGAGCAGCTTTCCCACATTCTCCAGAGATGCTCTGCAGGGTCCTTCCAGGGAAAGGAAGCGGCAGGCAGGCAGGTAGCAGGCGCAGGAGGAGCTGGCCTACTCCTTCCAGGGGCTCCGTCTGAAGGGAGACCGAGGATCACGTCTCGGGGTCTCAGCCATGGCTTGAAATGGTTCCGGACAGGCTGCTTCTCCAAAGCCTGCTGTGGTGATTCTGGCGGGGCTTTTCAGACGACCTTTTTGGTCTAAGAAGGAGGCAGAGAAAGCGAGTTAAAAGTCAGTTGCTGGAACACTCCGTGTCTGAGCTGCAACAGCTGTGCAGTGGTGCCTCTCTGGAGGGAGTCCAGGGGCCTCGCACGCCAGGAGGGGCTGCAGAGACACAGCGGGGGGGGGGATCCTCCGAGAGCCCTCTGGTGGCATTCCTGCCACAGCTGCAAGGTAAGACGGTTTCCTGCTGGCAGCCGCTGGTCAGGCAGATGGCGCAGGAAGGCAGGCAGCAGAAGGGGAAGAATGGGAGTTCTGCTTGGCAGAAGCGAGAGGCTCTGTGGACAAACAGACTGCTAGGTGTGGAGATGACAGTTAAACTGCCAAGACCCCCAGTCTTGGTGAAGAGAAGCAGGCCGGCCACCGGGGTGGGTGGGGGGTGGGCTTGCTAGGAAAGGTGGTGTGCTGAAATCTCTGATGGAGCTGCACAAGCGGTGGGAAAAGATGGCTGGAATACAAAAGGGCCGTTTGGGGACTTTCCTGCGGAGTTTGTGCAACTGGAGGCGGCATGTGGGGTGGGCAGAAAGAGATCCTTCTAAGCACTGCGATGACTCAGAGCTGTTGCAAACCACAGCTGCTCTGACCCCGGGGGTGTCCTTCGCTGCCCATTCCAGGTCCCCCCCTCCCTGCCCAGCTGATGGCTGCCACCCTGTGAGCCCAGAGCCCAGCGGAGGGGCAAACTCCCCCGGGTAAGTGGCATGAGAGGGCCAAGGTGAACCAGCTGCCGTCTTGCTGCTCCCAGATACCAGCCGGGGGGAGCAGCCCCAGCCGCACCGAAGCCCCACTGCTGTCCCAGGGGGAATGGCTTCCAAGGCCTGCAAAGCCCTCGGAGGACAGACAGCCCCAGTTGCCAGGCTCGGGATCCGAAATAGGGCTGGGCCACCTCTAATGTCCACTTCCTTTATTTCCCTCTCAGTTCTGTGGCAGTGCTTGAGGGGTCCGTCACCATGCTGGGCTTGGGGCCTGAAGTGGGGAGTTAGAAGGGAGAGTTTGAAGCCTGAGGAAGGGGGTTAGGCTCAGCCTTCCAGGTGTGGCCAGGTCCAGCAATAGCCCTTAGACTTATAGACTGCTTCCCAGTGCTTTACAGCCCCTTCTAAGCAGTTTACAAAGTCAGCCTCTTGCCCCCAACAATCTGGGTCTTCATTTTGCCCACCTCGGAAGGAGGGAAGGCTGAGTCCACCTTGAGCCGGTGAGAATCGAACTGCCAAACTGCTGGCAGCCAGTGATTGGCAGAAGGAGCCACCGTGAAGCGCAGATGCTTCTGGTCTCAAGGGGCCACCCTTCTTCACGCTGACTAGGCTTCACTCGCTGCCTGTTGTTTTAGCTCCCCGGCTTAAGGCCTCTCTCTCTCCCCCCAAACTTGCTACCCAATCGGAGCCTTCTGATTTCCTCCTGCTTGACCCGAAAACCCGTGGGACTCTCTGCCCATAAACAGTGGCCATTTCCCATTTGCTCCTTTCTCCAGCCCAATTGGAGTTCTTCAGGATATTTGGGGGGGGGGGAGGGCTGAGGGGGAGATCCGTGCAATCGCTCAGGGAAAGTGTTGCCAGCACCTGGAGGGAGGGAGGGAGAACAGTGGTTCCCTCTGCAAGGCAAAGAAGAAGTTGGAAATGCCCCCCCCCCCCACCAGGAGACTGGGGGCGGCGCTTGGTGAGCCCCGGTTCCCCTTTCCCAGCCAGACTTACAGCCCCAAAGAAGGGAGACCCAGAGCCCACGACTCCTGATCAGCCCTGGCTGCATCTCCAGGCCTCCCCGTTATGGGAACCCAGCCAGTGACGCTGAGCGTCTTACGTAGAACACCAAGCTGTGCTGGGCTGTGGCTTGTTAGGGCACAGCCCATTCCGGACCCACTTCTTCATGTTCCTAACTCTTAGGGTGCCCAGCTGTAGCCGGACTGAGGCAGAGGGGAGGGGGTGTCCCAGGGCTGCTCTGCGGCCAGGTGCCTTCAGACAAGGCGAAGAGCCTCCCAGCTCAAGAACAAATACGGGAGCCGGGCCTTGCTGGGCTAAAATGGCCCTCTTGGCCTTGCGATCCCCAGTGCGCCGGAGGGAGAGCCTCACACAGATCCTGTGGTGAAGGTTGCTTTATTGGTCAGCGCAGACCCATTCCTTTGCGGTTATTAGCATTACAGCGTATTGCACACAGAACTGAAGGGAGGCGAGACGTTGGAGGGGACAGGACTAACGGAGAGCAAAAGGGCCAGCGGAGAAGGGGGCTGTTTAGGCGAGACCCCCCACACACACACACGCCACGGAGGGGCTGCTTCTCTTTCTTTGCCACGAGGCCAAGGGAGTCATAGGAACAGGAGCACTCGGGCACTAATTGCCACATGCAGGAAGAGCAGACGCCGTATTTTCCTCCTGGGGTTGCCAAAGGTCCAATTGGTTCTCATGGCTAAGGATGAGCAATAATTGTTATAAATTTTGCCATAAAATGGGCAAGGGGAGGCTGCTGAAGCTTGCTTCAAAATTACAAAATATTGGAGTGAGACTCAGGCAGGGCTGTGTGAGGAAGAGGAGGAGGAGGAGGAGGAACAGATGGGTCAGAGTCCTTGTACTGCCTAAGAGGAAGGGACAGTTCTTGGTCTCCCTCCTCCCACCGCATTAGCTTCAGCTTCTAAGACACATTCGTAAGTGGGTCAGTACATTCACTTGTCTAACTACAGACGTACACTTGGTCTGCCAGCTAAACACCAGCCAGAAGGGCAGCAATTCAAGCCACGAGAACCACGAGAAAGGCTGCCACGCATTTCCCCTCACCCAGGACCAGATGTCCCAAGGCTGACCTGGGCCAAGCAGACTGAAGGATTCAAATGTATGTTACCAAAGTGATTTGGGGGGGGGGGGGATAATTCTCCATCCTCTGTCAGTTTGCAGCATTTAGAAATGTGAGTACCCTGTGACCTGGGAGTTAAGAGCCTACAATAAAAGTCAAAACATTTGAAAACACAAATGCAAAACCTGTACATGAAAAAGTACATGCCATTAAAAAATAATAAATTAAACAATAACCGGAAAAAATAACATTGCTCTATTTCTCCTCATCCACCCTCTCCTTCGAAGGGTTCCGGGTATCCTATGGCTCTTCCAAGCTGATCTTTTCCTGCAGAGGACTAAAGCTTCCTTGCAACCTGCTCAGCGCTGCACCAGGCGGCTCCCAGTGCCTGCTGCCTCAACCGCCCATCCTGGCACAGACAGCTTTGTGCTGGTCCAGAAAGTGAAAGGTTTTGCTTTCAGCCTTTGAGAAGAGGAGAGCTGTGGGCGGAGGGGCAGGCGCCATCCCAGCCTCAGGCCCTTGGGCAAGGGCCCGAGGGCAGCCTGGGCACTGGTCGTCACAGGAGCCTCCCCCCTTCAAATGGTTGTGCCACTTCATGCCTGGTCTCTCGAGACGTTCTCTTCTGTGCACCTTCCCCAGAAAGGAGGGCCCTGGGGCCACCTCCTTGCTTGGCTTGCTCCAGAGCCCGAGCCTTGCCTTCTCCATCAGCCCCACGTGGTCCCCTCCCCCACATTCCCTCCAAGGGTTGGCCAAGAGCTGGACAGAGCTCAGCCGTGGGATGAGAAGGAGCAGGACAAAGACAGGGCAGACAAACCAAATCCAGGGAGCCGAACCCCTTGGCAGCGGTTCCAGGGAGAGCAGACAAGTGGTGGGGCCACTCGGCACACGTATCCAGGCGTGTGGGGCAGGTCTTGGGGCTCTGGCAAGCAAGAACCACACACGGATGGAGTGCTGCTCCTGCCGAGTTCAGCCGACACTCGGGAAAGGCAACAAATCAAGCAGTGGGGAGCAGGTGGGCCTTCCAAGTGCTGCGTGGGAGGGGAAGGAGAGGAGGGGAAGCTCAGAACTCGATCTTGCATGCAGGGAAAGATTCGTCCTGCATCACCACGGTGCTGCTGCTGGCCAAGACCATGATCTTCAGCTCCTGCTGTCTCTCGTGAGTCTGCTGGTACCATTCCCGCGTCACTTCCGTGTCGTGTGTTGGGATTAGTGTGACCTGGGGAAACGAGAGAGATGGACCACGTGTCAAAAGCCTGTGGCCTGAACCGTGGAATTCCAGCCGGACTTTGACAACCAGGGTCGGCGGCGCAGATTCTCTTGCCAGCCGCAGCCGCCTTCTTCGGGACGGGGGGGGGGGGGGGGGGGGGGGGGGGGGGGGGGGGGGCAAGGAGGTGCGGGGCCGGCCGGGGGGGGGGGGGGGGGGGCAGGGAAGACTGCAGCGAGCCTGCCTTCCTGCTGGGCTGTCAGAGGAAAGCCGGCCCTGGAGGCAAAAAACCCCCGAGCCCCTTTCGGCTCCAGCCCAGGAGCCCAGCTGGTGGACCAGAGAAGAGGATCCCGGGCGGGGCCTGCAGCTACGCCCAAAGGGCTGAGAGGAAGCGGGTCTCCCAGGCTGCCACTCCTGGGGGAAGGGAAGCCAGCCAGGCACCTACCTGCAGGTTCTCCCCCCACTGGGCCTTCCCCTCCAACAAGGCCTCCAGGACGGCACGACTGGGCTCCCCGCTACTGGGATCGTTCCCACTGACCACGTAGTAAGAAGCTCTGACTCTCCTGAAGAACTCTTGGTCCGTATTTTTCCCGTTGCAATGGTTGGGGATGTACGCCAAGTCCACGTAGACAGGTGGTCCAGGTGATGCGGAGGAACTTTTGGGGCTGCTGGAAACTTGTGGAGAGAAAGTGGAGGTTTTTGATAAAAGATGCAACAATCGCCAACTTTTCCTTATTGTTTGGTTGGAAGAAACCTGGTCTAAGAAGCATCTGTTTTTTTTACACTTTACTAAAATTTGATCTTTTGCAGTAACAAAAGTATGCTAGGCAGTTCACAAAACTGTCTCTTAGATAACCTTTAGAACTTGGGAGTGGGCCAGAAATTGTCCCAAAGCCTGGCTAGCTCCCTAATGGCTGCCAGGTCCTGTTGGCAAGGCCCCGCCCGGATTCTTCTATCCCCATGAAGCAAAGGCAGGACACATCCCAATAACCGAAGGACAAAACTGACTTGGCAGTAACTGGCATTCTACTATTCTTCTAATCTCTCCACATTCACACACAAGGTTGAGGATTTTGGTGGAAAGCAATCTTCCGGGGCACAGTTTTCTCTAGTAACCACTGAAATGATAGTTGTATAAAGTTGCTGGAGTGCACCCAGTTTCTCTCCCCTATGAACTACCTAGACAAAATGAGATTGACGTAGATTTGCATGGTTTCTTCCATTACAAAAGTTTGCTGAGAAATGTAGGCAAATAAACTTTCTGCTGTCCTTTTAGACCTAGGAGAGAGAATTCAGTTTCCTGAAAATTGGTGGCATGGAAGCTGGACTTTGTCAAGTAGCCTTGGCAGACCAGAATAGTTCCAAAAGAATAGGAATGGCTACTAATAAGGCTTTGGCAATGCAAGCCATAGTAGTTATTCCAAAGAAAACCGGAAGGAATGAAGCCTGTTTCCGATTTGGGTCCAGCGCCAGGAGACTGGAAAGGCCAATCTCATTTTCTCGATAGGGCCACATTTGGGACGCTCATTAAATTTGCAGGTGACACAAAACTGGGGGGGGGGGCGGAAATCACTAATATTTCGGAAAAAGGAGCTTGACAGGCTGGAGCACTGGACCCTATCCAACAAGATGCAATTCAGTGATGAGAAAAGTAAAGTCTTACATTTAGATAGGAAAAACCAACTGCACCGGTGTAGAATAAATGGTCCCTAGCTGTGAGAGAGATCTAGATGTCTTAATAGACCACTCCTGGAATGAGCCAGCAGTGAGCTGCAGCTGCCAAAAAGAGCCAGTGCAGCTCATCAGCAGAGGGATAGCATCAAGATCGCAGGGTGAGACAGTACCGCTCTGTACCACATTAGCGAGGCCACCCTTGGAGTACTGCATCTAGTTCTAGTCCACACGATACAGAAAAAGAGGAGAAAGCCCTAGAAAGTGTGTAGAGAAGAGCAAGAAGGATGATACGGGGCCTGGAGGCAAAAACCTTACGAAGGCAGGTATGTTTGGCTTAACCCTGAGGGGGGAGATGACCGCAGTCTTTCCTCTACTTGAAAGGCTGCCATTGATTGATTCTCCATAGCGCCAGAGGGCTGGACAAGAAGCAATGGGTGGAAGCTTGTCAGAGGGAGATCCAACCTGGAAATAAAGAGGGATTTCTTGACGCTATTAAGCAGTTGGATTAGCGTGACTCCCGGAATGGCGAACGCTTCGTCGCTGGAGGTTTTCAAGAAAAGATTGGACAACTCTTTGTCTGAGACAGGGGTGGACTAGAAGACTTCAACCCTGTGATTCTGTGCTTCTATGAAATGCAGAGATTGGATCCTCGATGGTAATTAGTCTCAATAGCTGTTTACAAAGTCCTGATAGCAAATAACGTACATTAAACACTAGAGCTGTGAGTCAGCCATGGAAGGGAGCTGCACCCTCTCCTGTCCATGTTTGTGAGATAAGTTCTGCTTGTCCGTGGTGTGACATAGAACGCGACCAGAAGAGGGGCCTCCTGGGTCCCCCCCCCCGCCCCCCCCCCTTGCCACTTAGGGATAGCTCACCTTGTGCCAATTCACACTAAACCATCCCACCCTTGTTTCTGCATGGATCCACCACAGGTCACTGTATATTCTTTCCATTAGCAATAGGAAGCAGAAATCCATTTGACAGCTGACCAGTTGAAAATCAGGTAAAACTCCATATATTTCAGGATCTGGGCTTGCTGCTTAGTTTATATTGGGCTCTCAGAAACACTGTCCAATTATTGCTCTTATCTTGTTCGTTTTTTGCAGGAAAAGCTCCCTTCCACTGTGATCCCTATACATAAGAAATGAAGCAGCTGGGGAGGCATTCCTTTACACCGGCCACCACCAAAGGAACGCTGTTTCTGGGAAGTTCTTTGCCTGGGCCTTGTAAGTTTGCCTCCCTATAGGCATTATACTTGGAACAAACCAGTGTGTGATTGTTCACCGGGCTTTGTAGGCATCTCCACTCTCCTCAAAATCCCAGAGGAGTGAGGGCCTTTGGGCAACCCTCCGAGACTCCCAGCTTGAACACCTCTTCCCCCACCTTTCTCTTTCCAAAGGACCTGGAATGGCTGAGTCATCTCTAAGGGCCACTAGGGCCAAGGAGAGACACATTCCTGACTGGGGCCCAGGTCAATAGATTTCCAGAGCCCATGTGTGAATGATATTCTGAGAGTCTTCCCTTGGACTCTCCTTGCTGGCCAGACACAAGTCACTGTTGCTGGGAGGGAAGGAAGGGGACAGCTAGAAGTCTGCGATCTGTCTGCTCTTTCCCCCACCTCGGTACTGAAATGTGTGAAATCCTCAAGACTGCAGCTCAGAGACAGCAACTATATAGTTACCCCTAAGACGGTAACAATTCAAGTGGCTAAATAGACACCCACACGGGGTTTTCTACTATCATAAGAGTGCTTTCATATATATGTTTTCCATCAGCTGGTGCCATCGCTATTCCTGAAAATAATCTATGTCCATTAGTAGCCTTAATCACGGATTTGCTTGATCCACCTTTAAAGCCATTATTAGACCTTGTGGTACTGAACTCCACAAGTTAAAAATGTGGCATGCATGTAAAGAAATCTCTTCCTCTTGTTTGACCTTAATCTCCTAACATTCAGATGCAGAAAATGCTCTCACTGAATTCCAGTATCAGGAGACAGGAACAAAGAGAAAGTCTTTGTCGTATCTCTTTTCTTTTTCTTCAGCCAAAAAACTCAGGTCACAAGCAGATTCCCAGTGTCCAAGGAAATTGTCCCTGTATGGATTACCATAGGATTGAAGGATCCCCCTTATTTCTGCATAGGAGAAGGAAATAAACTACCCAGAGATATAGATAAGATATAGATAAGAATGGAAATGACCAGCTGCCTGCAAGGAATATATAAATCTTTCCATTAGCAATAGCCCTTAGACTTATATACCGCTTCACAGCGCTTTCCAGCCCTCTCTTAAGTGGTTTACAGAGTCAGCCTATTGCCCCCAACAGTCTGGGTCCTCATTTTACCCACCTCGGAAGGATGGAAGGCTGAGTCAACCTGGAGCCTGGTGAGATCTGAACTGCCAAAGTGCAAGCTGCAGACAGCCCGCAGTCAGCAGAAGCAGCCTGCAATACTGCACTCTAACCACTGCACCACCGTGGCTCTTCCCCACCACCCAGTGAGAACTGAAGAAGTTTCTGGTATGAGAATTGCCCCCAACTCTGAGGGCACCGATCGTGAAGTGCTTCTTGGTTCTCTGATGAGCTGTGGGAGATGAAGTGACCGAAATAACATTTGGCATGCTGGTAGAAGAAGATTAGCCGTCCATTTAAACAAACATGGGTATGAACTCTGATTTGAGCCTGGACTGAGAAGGTAAGAGGGCAAAGCAAACTTTATTGCACTGATAACCTTTCAGTTGGCAACCTACTTCTCCTGTCTGGCTACTTACGGTGCCTCTTCAGCACAGCACTTTGCCAAGAAACCTCCCGAGGTTTACCAGGTAGAGTCAGAATGCTGACTAAGTCACACACATTGTTGCGTTGCTTGGGCTACTTTTGGGCTGAGGCCTCTAAGGAACTGGGAAGGACACTTACTAACATGACCATTGCCGGTCTGACTCGTGCCGTCCTGGCCCTTTTTGTAAGGGGGGGGGGGGGCATGGTAACCGGAAAACCTCTCTTGGGTTGCACCTGCAGCCTTAAACAGAATCTGGTCTGGTCTGGCTTTCCTTAAGAGGCCCTCTTTGGATCCAGCCTTTTTGGTAACCATCCCTAGTCTCCCCAAAATTTGGCTCTAACTGTCCTGCTAACAGCCAGAGGAGGAGGAGGAGGAGCCACCTCTCTCTGCTTTTAGAAGAGGTTAGCTTTTGTGCTAACTAGACATAACGTGGCCAAGCCAAACCTGAGCATCAGCTTTTTACTAAAACTGGGTCGGAAGGTGGCACGGTGGCTTTTGAATATAACAGCCAATCAGCGGCTTCAGAAGGAAGGGCTGCAAGTTGGCTCCCTTAAGGTTCACTTAACAATTCACATGAAATTTTCAGCAGAGGCACGAAGCACTGTGACAGCTTTAAAGAAGAGGTTTTTATCAATATGATGTGGCATCACATACACATCAGCCGAAAGGGATCAGAGAACAGTGAGTCAGGATTCAGGATCTGATTTAAAAATATCCAAACCAATGTAGAGAAGACATCAACTTTGAACAGTTTTCTCAATCCTACCAGGTTCAGCCACACTCTGGGTTCAAGAATATCATCCTGAGATGGGAAGGCAGATGAAGAATTGGCTGTCTAGCAGCCAGAGAACTGGAGGTGCACCTTGGGGAACCCACCTCTGAGGCGTCTGTCAAAAAGAAAGGCACGGTTTACAAGGTCAAGTTTAAAGAGGGGCAACCAGAGAGAAGAAGAGAGACCTCAAAAGAAGGAAAGGAAAAGGGTCTATTTGTGGTCAACCTGCCCAAAGAAATGAGGAAGCTGTTTCCCTGCTTAGATTTTCAATATGCCCTAAGATGGGAATGGTGCCATGGAAATCATTGAGCACAATGGCAACTTCTGTAGAGGAAAAAGGGAGGCTGTACTAGCAAGTAGGGGACGGAGGGAGAACTGGGAAGACTTGAAGGGATGTTAGCCGTCTAGGGAAGGGGAGAAAAGTCGGCTGGAGATATCTGAGATGAAGTAGATAATGTGTCACACTGCTGAAGAATGGTCTATTCCAGAGCAGGGTCCAGAGAAGACTGCTGTGCCCCAAGATGGACCCCCCAGGGGCATTTCTTCCTCACAAGTTGCTTTCATGAGAAGCTGAGGAAACTGAATCCCATCCTGCCAGGCTGAGGTAACCAACCCCCTGACTTAACTGCGTGGGAACCTAGAAACTGCTAGGCATATTTTTGTCCCCACTGCAAGCTGCACACGTATCCGGTAGGGAGAGAGAGTGAACTGAAACCCTTGGATGTCTAAACGAAGCCTTTATTGTTTTACTGGGGCTTCACTACTAGTAGTCAGAAAGGCAGATAAGGCAATGGGGGAAGGAGGAGGCATCTAGCTTGTTTAGCCCTTATAATTAATTTAATTCTGTCTTCAAACGTTTTAGGGATAAAAGTCAAAGCAGTAACTTGCCCTATATTGTTAGTAACGAGCGGGGAGGAATTGACAAGACTCTTGTCAATTCATTCTTGGGACCAAAAGGCCGACCTTCCAGAAGCACTAAAGGGTTGGTGAAGCTCAGCTCCTCTGCCCAAACCATCCCTCCGGAGGATCCAAACCTTCCCAATCTCCGCTGTGCCTCGGTTCATTCTTACCTGGGCCAGTTCTGACACCACTGACGAGGTTCTTGCCGGGGCTGGTGTGGGCGCTTCGAGAACCTTCCTCTCGGTCTTCCACGGGTGGCTTGAGCAGTTTCTCTTTCTTAGCCATCCCTGGCCTTGAAGACCGACTGTCAGGCGGCTGCTTCATGGGACTAAGTAATTGTTTACTAGCTTTCTGGTACGGGGAGGAGGACTTGGACTTGCCCGGGAGCTTCTTGGACGCTTTATTTTTATCCTTCAGGTCCTTCTTGGATATCTTGTCAAGTCTGTTCAGGTTCTGCTCAATCAGCAGCATTTCAGGATCCATCATGCAGACATCTGGGTGTGGAGGGTGAGGCGGAGGGTCTGCCAAGGAAGCAGGTGGTGGGTCCTGGCCAGGCTTGGAGCCATGCTGGGAACTGCCTGCAGCTTTGTCTACCGGGAGGTAGTCAGTCTCTTCATCCGAATCCAGGGCGGCCTCTGCTGTAATGGAGGGACATTCCTCTGTTTCAGGAGGGACATCGGAGTCTGACTGAGAAGTCCCCGAATCACTGGCAGACGTGGGAGGAGTTTCCTCCACAGCGGAAGTAGCTGGTCTATGGCCACCAGGAACGGAAGGGGGCTTTCCTTTGACTGAAATGGGCCCTTTCCCCTGTGAAAACTCACTGCCTTCTGATGAATCCTGAGGACTTGGGTTGATGAAGGATGGAGACAATTCACCCTTTCTTTGCTTGCGCTCATATGATTTCTGCCCACGGTTAGATACGGCTTGGAAGCCTGGCTCCACTGCTTGGCAAGTGTCCCCTCCGTGCTCCTGTCTTTGGCTGTTCAAGTCCCCCTGGGGAGGGGTCACCAGTGACAGGGGACGGCTCTGCCTCGCACACCCCTCCTGCTCCTGCCTAGATTTCTCTGAAATGGGGGATGAGTCAGACAAAGGGAGTGGACTGAGGCTGACTTCCGTGGGGCCGTTAGCTGTTGCTCCTGCCTCCTGGTGACCAGGAGGAGAACCGGCCCGGGGCGGGGCTGCTGCGGGCCATTCTTGGGGGCTTGCCGGCTGTGGGCAACAGCCAACTGTGCAAGTGGGTTCGGATGGCTGCCCAGCCTTTGGGCCAGCAGAGGCTACGTCCTCTCCTGAAAGCAATGGAGGGGCGATGGGTGGGCTCTGGGCCCCTGCCATGTATTGGAGGCTGGGGAGGGGGCTGCTCCCTGTCGGCTGCCCTGCAGAGGGAGGGGTCCCTGAGGAAGGTTCCTCAGGGGGGCTGGATGACTGCTTGTGGATCGGATCCTCTGGGGATGTCTGCCAAGGGAGCTTTCCTTCTGCTTCCCCCTTTTTTGATACCTCTAAGTATTCATCTTCTTGACCTTTTCCTGGAGAGGCAGGTTCAGGCATGTTTAAGAGGAGAGATTTATGCTCCAAGTGTGAGGAGAAATGGGCTTCATGTCTGAACAAAATGGATGGCTCGTGCTTTTCCAGGCAGGAAAGTTCAAATCCAGAGGAAGAACAATCAAGCCCTTTGGGAAGGAGGACGGGCCCCTTTGGGGAGTCCTTGTCTTTAGCAGAGACGGAAAGTAAAAAGCTTCTAGGGTCAAGACCCCCACAGGCTTTTTCCACGAGGTCCTGGGAGGGCTGCTCGATGGCCACCTGGGACGTCTTTGTGCCCCCTTCCCGCCTGCTAGGATCTGCAAGGCTGTCCCCGGCTGTTTTCTTGGAGGGACTTCCCTCTCCCAATGACCCATCGTAGATTTCTTGCCCTGGGACAGAGACGTTGTCCTTCTCTGAGGCAGCACAGAGTTCTTTTGGCTTCACCAGGGGAGATGCGGATTCTTTTTCTGACCTCTCCTTGGCACCTTTCTCCAGCTCTGAGTCGCTAGCACTGTCTTCTCTTTCAGCTTTCTCATAATAAATGTCTTTGGGATGAAAACCTGTTGAGGACTCTTGCTCCTTACTGGGTTTTCTATCTGAAGGGCTCACCTCTTCCCTGAAGGCTGTATCTCCCAAAGAGGAGGCAGGCTGGAGGCTCACTGGGCTTTCTTTCCATTGTGTGGCGTCTGTGGATGTCATGAAATGGGGATCCTGCAAATACTGCTCAGTAACCTCTGCATACTTAAAGGAATGCCCCGTCACAACCTTTGGCGAACTTGGGGATGAGAGTTCCTTCTCGGTTGGAGTGGAGAGGTAAGAATCTTCTTCTTTGGAGGAAATGGGGTAGAGGAATTCCTCCTTCGGAGGGCTCAGTGCTTGAGTACTCTTGGCTACTGCGTCCTTTCCAGGATGGCCCATATCAGACATCACCACATTCCTGTAGACGTCAGCATACTGGAAAGTTTTTTCATGAGGGTAGGGCGTTGGTTCCCTCTCTTCCCTCTCTTGCCCTTTCTCACCTGCCTTTGCTTTGGAATCAGGCAACTCCAAAGGACCCGAGGAGTCCAGAGCACCTGGCCACACGTAACATTTGGTTTGGCTAACAGAGCGCGTGTCAAGATCCCGGCTTCCTCTGCAATCTTGGTCAGGATCCAACTGTCTGTTCTCCTCGGACCCTGCACTTGCATTCAGAAGAGTTGCGGAAGTTCTGGGCTGCTTTCTACTGCCATCTGGGTGGTCATCAAGATGCTCACTTGATTCCTCATCAGCATTTTGCTTTCTCTCCACAGCTTCACTCATGAGGTCAAAAGATGGGTACAGGGTCACTGTCTCCATTACTTGATTAGATTGAGGGAAAGGTTCTTCTTCTCCTTGCACTGAAGTGGGCATCTTAGCCTGGTGTGGAAAGGACAAAAAAGCCCATTCCACACTTGATTTTGGCTCACTTTCAAGTTCAAAAGAGGGACTGTTTTCAAAGCTACAAAGTTCAGCTTTCTCTGAATTCAAAACACCTTGATTAGGATGTGCCTGGGGAGCTGGTTTTTCTTTCAACATAGGCTTGCCATCTACAAATAAAAAGCCATCCTTCTCATTGGCCGTTTCTTCCTGAAAGGAGCCAGGTTCAGCATCCAAACTATCCTGCTTGGGAATATCTTCACTCTCCATAGAGTGAATGTCTTCTTCCTTCTTAGCAGGTTTGTCTACCTCGTCATCCAAAAATGTAGATTCCCCCTTTTCTTTGTTATATTTCAGTTGCTGGTCTTTGCACGGTATTTCATTCATTCCCTCTGGAAACCACACTTTCTTCTCATAATTTATGTCTCTCAGATAAGGATTTTCTATTTCTGGAGATAATTCATTTGTTTCCTCTTTCTTTCCTAGAAATTGATTAGGTTCTTTCTCTCCAGATGAAACTTCCAAGGCACTGCTATCTAAAGCTGGGCTCACTGATGTGAAGCTTGAGGACTTTGAGTCTGGAGATGTTTGTTTAGGAGACAGTTCCTTGCAAGTCTGTTTTTCTGTTAAGGAAGCCGATCTTTCACTTTCCAGAAAAGGGTCTGCTGAAGGCTGTATTATGGTGGCATCTAGAAATGGACTTTGCTGAAAGTTTAAAGAGGAACTGCATGGATCCTCTTTGATAGCCACTTCTGCTCTTCCATCTGTACTTGGGCTCTCTTCTGCTGAAGCTGGGTGTTTAGTTTTAGGAGACAGCTGTTCCACAAGCACGCCCAATGATGTTTCTTTAGTAGGGCTCTCTTTCATAAGCAGAAGTGTAGTATCTCTTGGAGAAATTTCTTCTTTGAATAAATATGAAGGGGTTTCTCCATGAAGACTCAGAACAAATGTACTATCTTCTGAAGAAACAGACTCCTTTTGTTCTAAGCCAGTTTCTGTCAAATGCAAACCCTTTTGAGATATTTCAGTGATGAAATTATCAGAACATGATGTCTCTCCAGGAATTTCATCAGTAAAAGAAGATGCCTTTTCTTCTCCTGGTAAATTAATGATTTGTGAAGATTTTTCATCTCTAGGTATGTCTGAAATTGCTTCCCATCCTTTTGGCAGAGGTATTTCTGAAGGAGAGAACACCTCAGTCCCAGGCCTAACAACCTGTTCATGGGATGCTTCCTCAGCAGTGCCAACATTCTTAGATGAGGCATCTTTTAAGGTCCCTAGGAGGTTATTTTCAGTGGGAAGATCCAGGTCAGAAATATCAATAGTTTCTTGTTTGTGGTAGAAGCTTATTGCTAGCTCCTCTTTCTCCAAATGCTGGCTCTTGTCTTCATTTGGTGCAGGTAAGAATCCTGCATGCAGGATGGCTGCTGCTTCCAGGTCAGGCATGTCATGAAGGCATCTCTCTCTGATTTCACGATGCTCCCCATCACCTTCAAATGTTCTGGATACATTCATTGCTCTGTTGGGTCTTTCTATTTCAATCCCCATTACAGGAGATTTGGCTAACTTTTCAAACATGTCTGCTTCTGCAGTATCCAATTTTTCTTCTATAGGGGATTGATGAAAAGGTGTGTGCCCTGCACTAGTGGGGCCTGATTGGGTGGGAGATGCCATCTTGACCGTGCTATCGTCAGGGCTTATGCAGCGATCTTCAGCATCGCCAGAGCCTTGTTGTACCTGCAGCAGGTGTGCATTTGCTTCACTCAAAAGCATGGTAGTTTCTTGAGATCCTTCCACAGATATTTCACTTGAACTATCTCCCAGGGGCCCTTGCTGTAAAAACAGTAGGGCATCATAATGTTCTTCTGCTTGCCAAGGCCTCTCAAAGTGTGGAGTTTCTTGCTGCTGCTGCTGCTGCTGCTGCTGTAAAACTTTCTTGCAGGCTTCAAGTTTCTTCTCACTTTCTATTTGACTATGGAAGTCTTCTGGAGGAGGAGACTTAAAGCCTTTGTCCTCTTCTAGGGACGATGTGGGAGAAATAGTGCCAGCAGAAGGTACGTAATCTAGGCCTTGGGTGACCTCTGTTCGAGAGGAAGGTATGCTGTTCACCGTATCCAACAGGAAGGAACTTTTGCCTGTTTCCTCTGTCTGCGGCGCTGTGATTGATGCAACGGATTGGTCTTCAGCGACAGAAGTGGCGAAGGAGGAAAGTTTGTCACATTCTGTAATGGATGTTGCTGAAGAAACATGCTCCTCTTCTGCCAAAGGGGCTGCCACAAGATTTGTAGGATAGGCAAGGATTTCGGGTTCCTGTCCAGCATACCCTTTGGCAACTTCAGGCGCTGTAAGAGTCTGGATCCCATTGGCAGCTTCAAAGGCCTGGTCTGCTCCTGCAATGTCATAACTGCCAATGTCTGGCTTGAAGTGTGCCACCTTCTCCTCGTGCTCATCATGGATCTCCTCGTCTGAGATGGTCTGTTCTGTCTCTGAGTAGCCAGGGATGGTTTCGTCTTGGATGTAGGAAATATGTTCTCCTGATGGGAAAGGCATGCTTCCCAGGTGAGAGTCCTCCCTTTCCTTTATCCCGGGCGACTTCCCAGGTACTTTGCTTGAGTTCACTCTGTCTGTCTTGTGTTCTTTTCCTTTCCCATCAGAAAGCAAAGAGGGGCCTTGTGCTGGCTGGACTTGAGAAAGCTCTTTCTTTCCTAACTCTTTGCCTTTTGCTGTTACTGCTTCCTCTAATGTCCCTTCCAGCTCTGCCCTTTTAAATACATCTTTCTTTTTCAAGCTGGCGTCTTCTCCTCGGGACATCCAATCCCTTCCTGAAGGAGCCGTGTTTTCTTCCCCATGTGATGGTATCTGATCTTTCCCTTTTCCTGGAAATTCTCCGACACTCCTTCCAACATTCTCATCCAGTTCTTGCCCAACAGGCTCTGCTAAGGTGGCTTTCTCATCAGGTTTTTCAGGTGACTTGCCTGCTTCCACCACCCCACCTTCTGGGGAAGCCATCTGCTCCTCTGGCATGGCCAGAGAAAGAAGTCCTGAACTTCCGGTCCCTGTGGATATCGGCACCCCCTTTCCAGCGACCAGGTCACAGGGATCCTGCCTTTCTGCATGCTTGGAGACAGTCTCTGCCTCTAAAGGAGCAGGTGCAGGATGAGGCCCTTTTTGCTCTTCACAGCTCAGCTCCTCAAAATCCTTGGTCAGGTCCTCTGGTGAAGATATCACCAGCCTCTCCTCAGCCATAAATGGTGGCCCTTGAGGCTGGTCATGTTTCTTTGGCACAGTTGGAGACTTCGGTTCTCCAGTGGTGCACTTTTCAGTTTTGGTACGAACTTTGTCCGTTTTTATTCTACTGGGAACTTTTGCCTTGTATAAAGTCTTCCTTACCTCAGGGGTGAACGCCTTCAAGTCTGGCTTAGAAACTTTTTTCAACTCTGATTTAGCTTCCTTCTTTTTTTCATCTTTCCTTGAATCTTTCCTTTCTTCTTTCTTCCCATCATCTTTTTTAATCTCCCTCTTCTCCTTTTTAACATCTTTCTTTTCTTTATCTCTCTTTTCTTCCAGTTTAGAAACTTTCTCTTTCAGATGTTTTTTGCCAACTTTGTCTTTGGCAAGTTTTCTTTTCTCAGCTTTAAGGGCATCGCTGGAGTCTATTTTCACTTTCTCTGTTTTGACCAGCTTCTCTTGAAGCATTTCAGAATGCTCTTTCCCTTTTTTCTCAGTTTTAGCCTCTTTTACTGTCTCCATCTTCATCTCTTTAGAGCCCTCTTCAGCAACCATCTTTGTTGTAGGAGGCTTAAGCGATAACTTGAGGCTCTCTTTACTGTCTGTCCGTTGTTTAATCTTGGACTGTTTAAGCACAGAAGAGGGTGTGACAGAAGCCACATCTTTCTGAGTAGCTACAGGATACTTCAGAAAATCAAGATGCTTGAGTTTCTCAAGACCTTCTAAAATCTTATTTTGTGGTGCATTTCCTGGAAACAAAACTCGTACAATTTTTTCTGTTGGTCCTGCGGGAAGCCACACTACAAGGGCTGTGATGGATGTTAGATAGGGGACCGAAATCTCCCCTTCTTTCCCATTGCTAAGGATAATGCCTGTCTTGGCTTTACTGTTTCCAGTCCACTTTTGCATGAGAAACTGCATCTCCTTGCTCTCTTTGACGGGGTTCAAGATGTACATGTCCAATTTGCCAACACCCATTTTGTGGAACAGAGTGATTGGCTCAACAGTATTGGTGACCACTCTATAGAGAGGCTCCGGCTTGATGCTTAGCCTGTGGAGGTACTGCAAGGTCAGGCTGGCTTCTGCAATGCTTCTTTTGACTTTCATGGATGACTCTGGCATCCTGAGCTTCTCAGGAACATTGAAGAAAACCACCCCAAGCTCTGGGGACAGAAGGTTTTTTATCCAGTCACTATAGTTAGTGGAGCCCTGTGACTGCTCTTCTTCCTGCTCAGCAATCTTCCTCTGCAAGAGTCCATTAATCCCCGGGAGATTGTCAGCTCCAATGTGGGTCAGGAGAATTGAGTCAATCCTATCCAGATGTCGGACCAGTTTCCAGAAACAGGACTTCCTGTCTGAGCCACCATCAACCAGAATGTTGAATCCATTGACAGCAAAGAGAGCAGAGTCCCCCCTTCCGCCTGGGAATATGTAGCAGCAGGGCTTGGAGAGCTTTAGAAACCCCCCGGAGGTTGGGGGTTCCAGAAGATCAAAGGGGGATGGGACATCCACTGTCTCAGAGACATATTCAGCAAATTCAGATATCCCATCCATCTCTGGCAGGACTGGATCAGGATTAACTCTCAGGGAAAAGTGGTCTTGGAAACTGGAGTGTTGAAGATTTCTCCAATCTCCTTCTCCCAAGCACGATATGGTGAGGGAGGTTTTACAAGCTGGATCAGTATTACTGAAAAGCTGGGCGACCTACAAGAGTTTAAAACAGATTATAATAATGAAAACTTCTTGATTAAGTTCAAAAGTTATTTTAGTGAATACTATGCAAATTCAGTTGAATTAAAAAAAATACTACACAATCAATCAATAATCTAGTCTGTTACTCCCGGATAACCTACAACTATTTTTTACTAGAAACATGTTTATTAAATGTATACGAAATATAGACATAAATGTATATTACATTTATAAGAGCTATACACATAAAGATGCTATTTAATCACTATATTGACCAGAAGAGCAGCTACTTGGAAGGAATTTCTAAAGAGTCTAAGAAAGTATCCAAGATCTCTGGAATATCTCATTTATACAGTTCAGATGATGGAAAACATACAGAATGTTTCTGAATTAATGCCATGTGGCGAGTCACTATATAAAATTGTCTGCAGTGTAGCAACTCAAATTGCAAGTGCCAAGGTAGCAAATGGCTTAAGACAAATAATTGACTAGGCTCCCAAAATTAAATGCAAGATAGGAGGGACTAGTGGCAAGGGAACAAAGCAACCCGATTCAATTGGAATCCAAGCTTACCCTCTCATGAAGCTTACCTCTGGATCTGCAAATATCCCGGTGAGTTTCTGGTAGGTGAAAGTCCCAGTCTGCAGAATCAAATCACCTCCCTGGTCAGAGCTTTGCCCACACAGGACTAGCAGCTTGTGGGCGGAAGGGTCACATATCAAAGAACGCACCTGTTCACATCAGAGATGGATTTCAGCCGCCTATTTGCCACTTCTGGGTTTTCAGAACTTTATGACAAATGTGCCCCCCGCTCCCCCAAACCTGCCAAGCTTTCTGGTGCTTTTGGACTCATATTCACCCAGGAGGTCAGCTTACTCTTCAGAAGGCCTGGAGGCCGAAGCTAAGCACACAGTTTTGAGGAAGGGCTCATGACCTTTCCACCTTTTAGCTCCAATTTGACAGGCCCTTGTACAACTCCATGGCAGCAACTCTGACCAAACCAGTCGTGCTGCCCATACAAATGTTTTTTACCTCTGACACGGCGCTCCACTCGTCAGGATTGACTAAGATGACTGTGTCCAGGTCTTCGCTCTGGTGGTGGAGGGTCCTCTGACCTGGAGAGAAGTAGAGAAGTGTTGGTTTTCAAATAGATCTGTCAATTGCAATAGGTCCCGTTTGCTTCAACACTCAAGGCTCAGCAGCCATAACAATACAAGAGCACACAATAGATACAAACTCAAGGTAAACCGCACCAAACTTGATTGCAGGAAATACGACTTCAGCAACAGGGTGGTCAATGTCTGGAATACTCTTCCTGACTCTGTGGTTTCTTCCCCAAACCCCAAAAACTTTAGCTGTCTACTATTGACCTCACCCCTTTCCTAAGAGGTCTGTAGGGGGCGTGCATAAGCGCACCAACGTGCCTACCGTCCCTGTCCTATTGTTTCTTTTATTTTTCTTATATGTATCCATGTATTCATAACTATGTTTTTACTTATACCTATTATCTTGTAAGCAATTGACAAATAAAATAAATAAATAAATGTATTTCTGTCTATTTTTTTCCACTTTTTGATATGCCCACCACATATGATATAGCAGTGATCCCCAACCTTTTTTATGCCGCGGCCCGGTACCGGCATCAGCTGGGCGCCGCGGCCCGGTACCGGCATCAGCTGGGCGCCGCCATCTTTTTTTGATGA